AACCTCACTCCAACCACACAAAACACACAATGGCGATTCCAGAGTGGTAAGTGACTCCGCCCAGAACCAAAGTACAAACATAAAACTATAGAAAAAATTTGTTTTCTTATTACAGTCTGAAAACTCAAGTCTGTCACCCGCCAGTGACTACTAGTCCATCATATGCAACACAGTTTGAGCTGGAACACGACACTATCAAGCTACAGGAACAAAACCAAAATAGAAAATGATGACAACCCGAACAACACCGGAAACAGATAATCAAAGTGAGACACACACACTTGTATGAATACGTGAGGCAAGACCGCTCATACCAAAACTCCAGTCGAGAAAAGAGCTGATGCACAGCCGGTAAATTTTTTTCGGAAGCAGACGGAATATGGTTCTTCTTAGTTAGAGCTTTTGACCAGGCTGAGAGCGTGATTAAATAGAAATGATGTAACCAAGCCCGTTTTAACTTAGTAGGAAGTTTCAAGGAAACCCAGCGTGTTAAGCACACGGCTTTTCTCACGGTCATATTCACTAAGCCCTCCATCATTCTAGAGAAATGGAAGAACGTAAACCTTTAGTGATCCAAACGGTAGAAACGGAACTAAAGGCACAACAATAAAGCCAAGCAGTAGATATTACCAATGTGTCTTTCATTCAAGCATTTAGCAGCATTCATTTATTGATAACTTTCATCTCAATGAAAAAATGGCTCACACAGCTCACAACGCTGATCACGTTGGACATGAGTGATAACACAAAAACACATAAATTAAACAGAAATTTAATAAAAAACAAATGAGAATTCGCAAAAAAAAAAACAAAAAACTTCAAATTTTTTAATTTTTATTGGTCCTGACACGATATTTTAAAGGAAAAATGCTTGAAAATTCAAAAAAATGCGACGACAAGTGTCATAGATTCACCTCCCGCCTGGGAGGTGGCCCGTCGGGCCTATTAAGCACGTGAAACGTGACGTACTTATAGACTTCCGCTCCGTACATCGTACGCTTTGTATTTCGTGCATATATGGTATAAACACGTTCCATTCTATCAATAACCTTCAAATCATAGTTAAAAAAGTTTTATAAAAATTTAGAGTCAAATTTGAGGTTGACATTGGAAGAGAGGACGATATGTTCCTTTGTCATGTTCCATTTAACGGAACGTACTAAAACTGAGCAGACTATCTTCGCGATCCTCTTATCAATGCAAGCCTTATTCCATGTGAACTACAAATGGAAGCTTCCACACCCTCACAAATATTTCACAAGATAGAAATATGGCATCTGTCCTGGTAATGAATAAAGATTCATCGGTTTCTCGTTTAATTAAGAATAATCCAAGATTACGCCATGCTTAGTCGATATTCATAAACTTCGTATTTGAGGTCATTAATTAAATTGCAAAAGCTTTGTGCAAATAAAATCACGAAAAGTTTTTAATTTTCGGTCTCTGCATTATAAATGCGGGATTTCCTGCCTCATTCCTTCATTGAGTCATGGGGCCATGGCGCATCTTATATTCGTGAGTTTGAAGCAGTTTACAGATCGAAACTTTCCGATTTCAGAAGAAACTTCACAGATTTAACAACGTATACCAATAATACGCTTTATATTCCTCTCTATATAAACTGGTAAGACTACATTTAGAACATTTTCATGTTAAGACACCAACAGGAAAGAGCTGGACAAGACTCCTTTTATGCACTTTTTCACACTATTGATGGAGTTGGAAGTAGTCATTTTGGGATTGAACGCTGTTGTGAATGGAATGTTGGCTTTCAAGGTGCACAAGATGAATAGTATTCATCAAAACCTTAAATGGATATACTTTTCTCACTTGATGGAATATTATGCTTTTTTTTTCGCCCAGCTCATATTGATGTGTTACCAAGTAGGATGGATTTACATAGGATGTAAGTTCAAAAAGTTTCGAGTCTGTATTCATAAAACCATTGTAGTTGACTCAAGCCAGGATTACCTGCTTGTTGTTTGCGGAATAATCAAACTGCATCGGCTGTGGTCATCTTGGTTCATAATTTTTGCAGTTGTCATTGAAAGAACTTGGGCTACATGCGCTATAAAACATTATGAAAATCAGAAAAACGCTTGTAAGTTGCATAACAACTAACTTGTGGAAATGTATATCTACTCAGGCCTTGCATTCGTTTTGGTGACTCTGAAGGTTACAATCACCATTTACATGGCCATAAACACCATAAAACTCAGAGTGAATTTCATAACTTGTTTCGTTATTGGTTACAGTATCATCGGTTTTTCGTTTGCAGTAAAACAGCTGTTTTCATTCAGTAATAAACAATTTGTTTCAGTGGATAAGCATTCTAATATGGAGCAACAAACGAATGATTCACAGCTTGGAGAAGTTGCAATCCTACAAAGATTATGATTTAAGTCAGCGTTATCAACTGAAAGAGAATGACCGTGTGTTGACAGTATAGGGCACCAGATTCGTGCATCAGACAATACCGACTTTACAGATCACCAGAGTTTTCTACTTCATCATCAGTTTTAATGTTACCTGTGCTCTTATGATGATCCTCTGTATGCAGTTCCTAGTATTCGGGAAAGATATTGCACCATTCTTCGTACTGTTCATGGAGTTCCTCATTGCCTCGTAAGTTGCTCATCCAATGAACTTCTGTTAACAAACACTAGAACTCCTATACACTTCGTGATCGCCTTGAAACTCATGCCGTCCAGCTACCTTCAAGTCACTGAGCAGCCAAGACATGATCATCCACCCTGCAGGTAATAAATTGGAAACAACTTCATCATATTCAACAACCTAGATGCCCCTTAACCCATTTCACCAATGAGGAAGAGTCCACTTTATATTTCTCCCAATTCAAGCAAATGTGGAAATGAGATACTGACATATGAGAAATAAAGAGCTTAAACTCAATTCTTTGAAGAACTTCGATTTCGAGATAAACACAGGGAAACATATTCATTGAAACAGTCGATAAACGTTATGCGTATTTATAAAGAGCAAAAATGAGACAGAATATGAGAAACAGAAAAAAAAGGCTCCCGTTAACGAGCAAAATTGTTATCGTTTTTCGCGACAAAAAGCTTTAAATATTTCTTGATTGTCAATTTTAATCATAGCCAAGCTTGTGATTACTCCATCGTTTCCGATCATCCATGCTTCAAAATGAGATCTACAATACGGGATAACAGGTTCATCTCCAACTGGTTTGAACCCGGCCACTGCAAAGAAAAAGAAGTTACTAGCAGTGATTATCGCCGACTTGCATTTGATTTTTTTCATAAGATGCGAGAATACTGTTGGGGCCATACTATCCTCTTTGTAATCAGGCAGATAGGCGATTTGGTGACAGAGCCTCTGAGTGTTCTTCATAGAAGAATAAACACAAAGATTAGTTGCAACTCTTGCATTACAGTAGAAACATTTCTCCGTTGGTAAATTTTTTTGAGTGGCTGGATCGACGGTCGGACCGTTTTCTTTCAAATCATTCTTTTTACTTTCAGGAACCGAATAATCTCGTCCTTCTAAAAAGAGTATTGTATTCACAACGAAACATCATTAATACCAAAGCTGTCAATAAGATATTGCAGGTAACTCTTTTCAGGTGTTGACCGAGTGTCAGATGCTTTACATTTTAAAATATAATGGTTTTCCATTAGGCCTTGCGATTCTTTAGCTGCCTTCATAGTTTGCCAGCGGTGGCTATTAACCTGAAGTAAACCTGATCAAAAAACTCCAGAAGTTTAACTTACAATTCCATAACATTTTCCACCAGTTTCGTCCGGACAGGATGTGAAAACTGACCCGAACCTAATAAAAGTCCTATGCGTGCAAGTTGATAAGGTTAGAAATTTATTCTGAATTTCAAGAATGTAAATGTTGTTTTATATAAACTTACGGGACAAGCTTTTAGGCTGGTTAGATGTGCATTAACATTTACAGGTTCGTACTTCAAATCCGTGGCGATGGTAAAGCCAATATTCATGAGGCTGGGAGCCTGAAAATGCAGGAGATGTGAAATTATTGGTATGGTTCATGCACAAACCATTTGTCTTTTACATAAACCTTGAGCGATATGTTCTACAACTTTTTGACCTTTAAGGCACCCAAGTCCACAAAACTTACAAAAAGTGTAAATTGGAGCATTATGTACATGAGCAAGATGATTAATGAACTGGCCTTCCTGAAATTAAAGGAAGGCGTAGATTCCCACTGTTGCGAATAACAAACATCCGAAAAACTGATAGGCTTAGGGCAGTGCACACAAATATACTTGAATGGTTCTGACAAGCTTTTATTCTGATGCCTTTCTTGATGGCGCTCAAGATCTTTAGCGCAAACTTGTGTACCGCTACAGAAGTTACATTGGCTGTAAGAATTTTTAGTAAAAACGAGACCGTGTGATAACTTACAAAAATCCTGAGCGAGACAAATGTTGTTGAATGTGAAGGGAATAACGAAAACCACACTCGAAAGCAACACAACACGTCCTGCAGACATAGGATATAGAATCATTAAGTGGAATACCAAAGTCCTGAAGAACTGAAGGTTAACAACATCTAGGTATACGACAAGACCTGTGGACATAACTGATCAGCTAAGCTAACATCACTTCTATGAGAACTATTGAAATGTACTTTCAAACCCCTTTGAGTAACGAAAAGCAAACTACAGGCTGTACATTTAAATGTTTTCTCTCTAGATTTACTAGTATCTGCGTCTCTGAAACAATAATATAGTTTCGAGGGTCAAACATACTAGTTAGCAAAATACCCGGAAAGAACCATACACTCATCATCATCAATGACTATGTTTTGTACAGGAGGTTTTACAACAGTAGGAGCAGGAGGCTCTACTTCCAAAATGACACACTCATCATCGTCATCAACGATTTCCTGAACCTTCGCCTTGGATGATTTTGCAGGGATCATTCCTTCCTGTCTACCAAAAGTGACAGTCGGGTTCGAGTATGTATTTTCTACAGTATCAACCAAGCGGCAAGTGCTTTCTTCTTGTTCAAAATTTCTCATATTAGTGTTCTTGGAACTTTCTGCGTTATCTTTCTTGTTACTATCAGTCTGAAAAATTCATCCGTTAGGTATCGCTCGACTCATCTGTTCTCACCGGGAAAACACCCAGACAAACAATTTCACTATCACTATCATCTACAACAATTAAAATAAATTCAGAAGTCATATCCAGACAAACCATCTGTAAGAGAAATACATTTTTTGTTCAATATAAACTTGCAAACCTCCGCACAATCCTGGTGGTGTTTGATTCAATACGTTTGAATGGTCACTCTAAACGGTCATTGTATACTAATTACGAAATGATACAAACCATAGTATAATCGCCCGAGACAGCTTTTCTTTTTCTTTTTAAACTCCTATCCAAGGCAGAACATTATATATAAGAAAAAAATAAGAATTAAAGCAACCTTTCGAGATCCGCGGTCATGGTCGCCATGATTTTGAATAACTGCGCGGAACAGCGCTATCTTGTAGAAACCTATGATACACAAAACTAGGAAAATTTAAAATTCATTAGATACAAAATATTATAGAAAAATAAACAATCTTGTATCATAGACAAAAACTGATTATAGCGTCTGGCCATAATTATCTGAGTTGATAGTATATCTAGAAGTACGGTATAAAATCACGTACGAAAGCACAGTAATAGTATACCGTAACACTATTTCTTGTTCTCATTAATAGATTCATCGAAGTCACTACTTTCCATATAAACGTTCCAAGTTTTGTACTCTCCTTTGTTCTTGACCAGGTTACTACCAATCTGTAAGGAGTGTAAAGATTCAGCCTTCCACTACATTTATTGTTTTGTAGTTGAACACTTACATCTTCTTTTCGTTTTGCTTGTTGTTTTCTAGGTTTCAACAAATCCAACGAATCCTCATCATTTTGTTTCACTTGTTCAATCTTTGATTCCAAAATAGATTTGTCTTTCTTTCCACGATGAGCTTTATTTTTTTTGCTTCTTTTTTCTTTTTTTATCGAACTGCCGGGTGAACCTAATATTTTGGAGATGAAACTACATAATATAGAAGCTCTAACGTGTTTTTTGACTAGTTGGACTTTGTGAAGATTTTGAAATACTTTTATTGAGTTTGACCTCGCTTCTTGGTTCCTTCGCCTCCTTTTTGCCGAAACACAGAACGAAAACAGTCGTTAAACATATGCTAAAAAGCTCATAACAATAACTTGAACATGGTTTGATAAACAGTAGGAAAACCTGATGAGGGAAACGTAGATTACGTTGCAAGTGATAATAAAGTAAAAGTGCATCTGAGTTCGACTGCTCTTGTCTGGTTCTTCTCAGTGTGAATACGACCGGTATTCAAAAACTACAGAAAATAAATGAAGTTGAATTGTTGCAGAGTGACTCCACATGCTTTGCATAGAAGTCTGATGAAAACCTACACTCTTTCCAGGTGTTTCATTCAAATTTGTTTGGAATATTGCATAGAAATTTACACTTAGATATGGAAGCACGATTCTTGTAGTTGATCAATAGTTCTGTGAGAGAATAATACAAAGTCCTCTGTTCCAGTTCAATTTTTTCACCCACACATCATAATAAATCACTGGTAAAGTAATGATTGTATGAGTCAGTTAGTTATTGCAGTCCAAGAGTTCGTAGGTCTGCTGTCCACTTTTAATTACACTTTAGAGATCTTTTCGCTGCTCCTTTTCGTCTATCTCTCATAATTTTTCTCTCTAAGCAGTAGTTCTTCGACCACTCACATTTCGTTTTTCTTCGTTCACACGGGTCATTTTACGGATCTGAAGCTTACTACTTCCAGTTCAAATAAACGTCCCAAATTTCATTTGTCCTCTCTATACGATATATATTTTTTTTAATTTTTGTTTTTTCTCTTCTTATTCCGTTGAATATTAGTGAATTCGAAATCTGTTTCCTCCTCTGCGTCAACTTCCTCCAATGAAGCTAATACATGCGAAACTAAGTTTTCTTTTTCGTTCAGAAATTCGCACCAACTTATTTCTACTTATAAGGAGCTTCACTTATGAAGTCGTCTCAAATTTTTTTCGCCCACATTCACGAACTCCATTTTGACTTCCTACTTTCTTCTATGAGAATTTTCAATTTCTTACGTATACAACACGACAAAGGCTTTCAGGAGATACTGCTTTCCTCGTTTAATAAAAATGATTTCATTCGAGTGTCTATTCAATAAACTTCTTAATAGATCTCTGTCATCTGATAGCTACTTTTTCCACAAATATTTGCGATCTGTTTATAGTTGGTTCACGTTCTTATTCTTTTTTTTTCAAATTCTCTACTTATACGGTTCATACAGCTTTACTGTCTACTTACTTTGATTCGATGTTGTGGGTGGATCTGTTATAAAACGTTCTCTTCTCACATTCTTCTGTATTGTTCCCGAGAAAAATACCCCCATATCTCAATTTATAACTTTTGCATTTTGCGGATTGTTTGAGAATCTTTCGAACTGCAGCTTCACTCTTCATTCTGCAAAAAATGTTTGAGAACAACTTTAGCTCATGCAAATCCGAGGGAAGCTCATCTAGCAGTTCATGAGAAGGCTCTTTTTCATGAGGTAGATGCTAGTAGTTTTTCTCACAATCGAAAGAGAGAAAATGAGAACCGATTTGAAGAGGTTTCCTTCTGAGGTAAAGAAAACTTAGCAAAACACCTAAGAGATTTTTGATTCCCCTTTCGTTCCTTCTATAAAAGTTTATTTTGTTGTAAAAAAAATAATAATGATGGCATAAGAAGGTTTTTGATTCGCTTTTTCGTGCTCAAAAAAGAAAATAAAAGTTTAAAACGAGTTTGAAATTCTCATTAACAAGCGGCTTTTGTCGGCTTCTCCGCTTTGTTCAATCTTAAATGTGATAATTTCCTAGTAATTTTGAGTTTTTGTATAGCGAACCAACCAGTTCAAAGAGAAAGTCCCTTTTGAATTCAAACGTTTTCAATTGTTCCTTTTGACTAGCGAAAAATCAACTAGGAAATCAAAAGAAACTACTTGAGATTGTGTGGAAAACAAAGAAATTTGTTTAGCCATCCATTGTGTTGTGAGAAAAACTGAAATTCAAATATCTTTTGATTTTCATTATTAAAATATATGATTCTACGTGAAAACGTCAAGAAAGATGAGAAAAATAAAACATTTGGTTAAGATTTTTTATTTTTTCCCCCCTACCTCACCACCTTTCTCCGTTTCATCGTCTAGCTCTTACATCATTCATCTTCTATATCCCCCGCTCTCTATGATTGGAACTACTTGTATAGCAAAACGAATGAAAACAATCTCTATTTTAATAACAAAATTATTTAATTTCATTTCTAATCTTCTTTATTATTAAATTTCAGTTAATTCTTTGAGATACATATTTCGTAAACAAATTACTTGAATGATTTAGACTTAGTTCTCGTTCTCATATCATGCCGTTGGCCTTTTGCACCTTTTGATGTCTTCAAATAAGATTTATGGTCATATATGTCTAGCTTTTACGTTTTATTGCCTTCCATTGATTATGATTTTTTGTGTCTTGGATTGTCATCAATGTCATTTGATTGAAAAGAGCATCTGTTTCGCAGCTTGAAGTACGGATTTGATTTCATGGCTTTTTCCATATCTCTTCCCTACAACTTCAAATCTTTGATTTGATATTACACACATAGAGACACATTCACTACAAAAGATTTCATTTGTATGTCAAATTTTATAAAAGAGCAACAGCTTTCCTATCATTTGCACAAATCATTTAGTTGATATTGGAAGGATATTCTGCTCTTAGTTCTATCCTATATTTATCACATTCATTGCTTGAGGGTGTTCTAGTGGCATTTATATCGAAAAGTATTCTTTGCGAACTCTTTCTCATTCTTGATCTTTTCTTCCTCAAAGTAGTTCCGATATTCATTTGATAAAACATAATGATTGACAGATAAAGAGGCCAAAGGCTTAGGACTACACACTAGTTGTCAGATGTGCGAAGAACGCTAGAAGATATTAGTGCTTTGCAAGAATGAGGAAGAGGTAGAGAGTACACGAAAATAACAGATATAGACAAGGAATAGCTAGGAAAAAGAGAGAATGAGAAGATGGGATAGAAAAAACTTAAGAAAGGTTGTAAGACTTTTGTTGAAAGTATATGACGAGCTGCATCATTATTCAGAGTATGTGGAAATGCAAATCTCACGTGAAATCGACGTAAAGCCGCCTCAATAACACTTTATTTTGAATCAGCGTTGGCGTATGGATCGGTTGCATACATAGAATGCTTAATGAATTATCTCATATAAATAGACTACTTAACTGTTAGAATATATAATTTTTCATAAAAAATGCTAGAAAAACTAATAATAGCCTTGTGACGTAGCAGTAGACAAACTAATCATATATAATAATGAAAACATTTTTAAATTTTGATGTTTTTTCAATACTTGTCCACACAAAAGGATGAGATCACCGTTATCTTCAATGTTTCCTTAACCATTCATGCCATTCACCTTTCTATTGATCAAATGAAATAGAAATGGATTTGAAAAGAAAAATCTGAAATAAAAAAAAATTTTCATTTTTTTTTGACATATTTTTCACGTTTACACGAAGCTATACACTTTCTCTTCAAATGGCAATACAACCTTTAGCATCTCTCTTGCAACATGTGATGTGAAAGGCAAAGTTTGAAGTTTCATTTGAAGAATCGTTATTCTCTTAGTAGATTCTTGTTTATTTTTGTGTTATTTTTCACACCAATAGCCATGTATTGTTTGTTGAGATAAAAACATTCTGAACTTCTGAACTTTCGGTTCGGAAACGATTGATGTACAGAGGATGCAAGTAAATGAGAGAAAAGTGTGTATAGTTCGGAGAGTAACAAGTAAAAATACATGAGGATAACGTTTTTTATTTTGTTTCTCTGATTTGAACCAAACAAAAAGAAATTCTTCTTTACTTTGTTTCTCGAAAAATTGAAATGTTTTCTTCGTTGTTCAATGAAGTAAGTCAATGACAATAAGCTAAGAGAAGAGAAAAAGAAAAAGAAAGAACAGCAGAATATGTTGAGATAATTGCAAAATATTGCAAAGAACTTGAGATATTGACTGAAAAGAAAACTCTTTGAGAACGTCTGATAACGTATGTTGTCAGTAAAATTTGTATGGAAAACGCTTGACGGCAGTTGTCCTCCACCCTCACTCCACCTTCGCTTTACGAAGCAACAAGCTAGCGAATAAGAGAAAGAAGCTGTTCAATCAGAGCAAATTCTTCTCTTTCTCTTGGCTTTATCATTACGCAGCCACAGAGCATTTTCAACATTTCCATAGTTTTTCTCTCAGTTGTGAATATTTTAAAAACGAAGAAAAACGCTTATTCTCAACTTGAAAAAGCTTCCACACTATCTAAAATTCCGTCTTTCATTGCCGGTCAGCATATCGGCTTATTCCGAACTCTGTCTGGAAATTTTGTGGCTAGCGTGGGAAAAGTCACTATTCTATCGAAAAATCAAGACTTCCTAGAAGTAATTGATATTATATTCAATTTTATTCCAATTATGGTTCATTCTCATCGTCGAACATCAATTGATATTGATGACGACGACGCTTATGAGCTATCGAACGAAGCTGTTGCCAAGTCGTCTCCAAGGTCAGCTTTAGAGAAATGTGCTCGAAGTTTGGTCGAAATTCATCGACTGTTACGAGGTAAAGTGGGGTTTTTTTTTCCCTTCGAATAATTCATTCTCTCATCATATTCTCATTAGTCGTTCCTTCTTCCTAACGTAATTAAAAACGGAAATAAGTTATCCAATTGCCTTCTCCTGGCGATGTTTTTCAGCTTGTCTGTAGTACATAACTTTCAAGAAAGAAAAATGACAAGTACATTCGAACGAATAAAACTGCCTTCTATGGTTTTTATCAGATCAGATGTAAATAGTTTGTATTTCCAAACGATTTTCTTCTTACTTTGGATGTTTTTGGCGAATTCCTTGCAATCATATTTTGTTTTTCATAGAATATTCCTGAATGCGTTTGTTAGAAACATTCTGAACTATCATTTCATCTTTTTAATGAGATTACAAATAAACTTCTTTTTTTTTGAAAATTCCATTGTGACATGTGAAGAAGTTTTGAAAATGCTTCACACAGCCACCTTCAACTGATAAATTTGAGATCATCCACCCTCTATCTCTTGCCTTCTCTCATTTCCTCAAAAATTTCTTTTTTTTTCCATTTCCAAGGAGCTTTATGATCAACCAGATGTCTTCGATTAAGGCTTAGTTCGTCCTCTTTCCATGTATTTGCATTGAGTAATTTTTTTTATGTTTTCTCATAATTTTTCATGTAATCTTCTGATTTCTCAATCTATTGACTGCAGCTCAGTAAATACTTTTATTTATTTCTTAATTATAACACTTGCAGAACAGAGTTTGAAGCATTCTTCTCTAAATACTTTTCGTTCACACTTTGACATTGCCAGGTGTTCTCAAGTTTTGAACTTTTTCAATAACAAAAACAAACAGATTTTTAATAATTCAGAAACAAAATAATCTTTCAGTCACTCATTGCTATGCTTAAAATGAGTGTGTGTGTGTGTGTGTGTGTGAGTATTTCATTGAAAACATTTTTACTTTTTCTTACTTCTGACTCCATCTAAACGCTCCAATGAGTTCGATTTTGATAACATTTTTCATTTCGCTCTGAGAGGATATTGTTGAATTGTTGATGAACTAGGAGTAAAAGAGTCTTTTATGATCTTTGTCTTCAGTTGATCCTTCATATAGACAAGAAGGTTTGTTGAAGGATAACTATGGCTTTAGATGAACAACTTTTTTTTTCCTGTTCATTTCTTTAAAGAAGTTTACTTTTCCTTTTAAGAGCTTACGAGATCATTTTAATATTCTTTCTATTGCCACAGCAATGTCTTATATTTCATTTCTTCTTTCAATGCTATGATTATGAGCAGTTCAGAAGTTCAAAATTACTCTTCGATCTTTCATATTCTCACATTTTGTAATTCAATCCTCCAAGTAGTCTTCGCGATTTTACTAACAATTGATAATTGAAACTTTTTTTTCTCTTCTGAGTTTATTTGAGCGTATTGTAACAAAACCATCTCAAATATCCACCAACTTGGTTCATCATTTCAACTAATTTGTAAAGCATACAGCTTTACAATTACAAAACACAACCAACATCAGGCTTATTCGATAATTATTGAGTTTTGATAAACGAAGACTGTTCCATAGATACATGCATAAACAAACATCGGGCAGAAAGAGAAAAAAAGTTATTTTATGACACGTCATCGCGTGAAAATTTGACGTAAAAACGTCAAAATGACAATTCTCCCGGTTATTTCATGTTTTGTGCAAGCACAGAACGGTTGATCTTTCTCTAATTCTCTCAACATTCCTTACTCTCATATTAAGTTTATGATGTTTTGGCCTCTCTCGTCCGCTCATGATATCTGGGATGTTGGAGTGAACTGTTGGCATCTGAAGAGTTATTTTTTCGATTTAATGACAACTATCATTGTTTTCCTAAAATAAAATTTCATCTCTTAAGCCTCAAATGAGATATTTGTCTGCAAAAGTTTTTTCTTTTCTTTTTGCAACAAGGAGGAGAAGCTTTATTAGCATCTCAACCCATTCAACCATATCAATTATAGTTTTTTGTACTTGTGTAACCATGTTGTTTCATTTAAATTATGGTGGAAGAAAAAAGATTTCTGACGCCATACCATTATATTCAAATGTGCTCCACACACAACACTTAATGATAAACCTATTTATGAGAATTGGATAAAGGAGAGCATGAAAAGAAAAAAATTTAATTTTCATCAACGTCTCATACATGATCCGTATGGAGAGAATGAGCATGATTTTCGTTGTTTTTAATTTTGAATTTCAAGGCTTTTTTTTTGCTTTCTCCGAAAAATTCATTATTTTCTTTCAATTATTTCTTTTCTTTTTGCAGAAACATCTGAATCCATGAGCTCCAAAGAGTCAACTCCGAGTGATGCTGCAACTGCTAATCATGCACGGAAAAAATGGTCAGCTGCTTTTCGTGTTGTACAGGGACTACATCGGTTCAAGCTACCTTTACATCGTACTGTTGTGAGTCTAAAATTCGATTCTTTTTTTAAAACAAAGAAAGAGTTTCAATCAAAGGAAGGTTGTTGATGGTTGGAATATGAGGAGTAAACTCTTCTGAATGAAGTTATACTAGAATCTTAAGCGCTAGAATATTTCCTTATAAGCTTAAAATAGACATTATGATCATCGTTTCGAAAGTCAGATGTGTGAATAAGGAAAGTAAACAAGAAAAAATACCATAAAATAAAAAATGAATGATGTACAACCGCTCTGCACGTCTTCATCAATGCAAATGAGTTTGACGAGTAGAGGCTTCCCCCTATACGTATGAATTCACGTGAAATAATACTATAACGTGAAAGTGATTGGGGAAGAATATAAGAATCCTGTTGTCTGTCTAACCACCTCCGTATATTTGGAAGGAAATGCGATATTGTTTTAAGACATGTAATATACGTATTTCCTTTTCATTCATTTTTCAAATAAGAAATTAATTATTTAAGCTTCTAAGAAAATGGAAATGATAGGATTTTTGGCAGAAAAAATGATATTACTTCTGAGTTCAAAAAAAGAGAGAGAGAGAAAGAGAGAAAGAGCAAGAAATCCAAACGACTTCATTAAGGATTCGGTCATTACTTCAGTCTGGTCTTACCTTTTCGAATGCAAATCAAATTTTTTCCAACACCCCCTCGGAATTTTATGCTTTGATTATCACGTCATTACATGAATGTAGTGAAAATTCCTTATTACTTTATTTTTTAGTAATAAAACAAACAAGGAAGTCGAATTTGTATATTTTGAACTTTGGAAGTTGTTCGATTTATTCTGGAGAAGGACAGTTAAAGCCTAATGTCCAGCTTAAAAAAAGAGATGAAAGATAAAAACTGGGCAACAAGAGAAAAGAGGGAGATAGATAATCGTTTGAGAAAGAAAGAAAATGTTTAAGATGGCTATGGAACATTCCGATGAAAGAGGATGTTGTCCTTCAGATGAGACTTGAAAAAGATTTCTCCTCAATTCAAATTGGAGCTTTTGGTGTTATTTAAGTCATCAGAAGAAGTGAATGCTCGTAAAACATAATCGGCTTGTTCTCTATTAGTCTCTAAGGATCAGAGGACTTACAGAGGTCCGAAAGTCTGACTTGAACTCACCAACAGCATATCCATTTAAGCTGTCCACATTAAACTTTTTTCTTACTTTTCTTTCTCCCCCCTCTCTTTCTCTCTCTCTCTTTATCTTTCCCTCTCTCTTTCCATTTCTCTCTCTCTATAAATGTATATCTCTCTCTCTCTCTCTTATTTTTATCATAAAACAATCGGTATTTTGATGTTGGGAACGAGCCAATTTTCACATTTCTTCTCTGAACAACACAAAGAAAAAACAATTTATTAACCAAATTTTCTTTTTTTTAACATTATTTTGCGTTTGCACAATTATTACATTCGTGTATGCGAGCTTTATTGTCATTTCTGGCATTGAGCCGATATAATGATGATTTGGTCAATTTGTCTCTACGTGAATAGTGTCGTCGTCTGTTAGTGGAATAACATGAAAATATATGAAATAAGGAGTAAAATGTACCAATATTATGGAATCCTTATCTATATATAGAGTTATTTCCTGAAATTCAAACCTTTTTATTGCTGCAAAAAAGAGAAGAAAAAAAAGAAAAAGGAAATATGGAACATCTTCAACTCCATATCATCTTCAATCATGACGAGACTCACTTATCGTCTTCAGATGCTTCCTCAAATTCAGATGATGAATCAAAGAATTTAAGCTTAAAATATAAGATCTTTAGTCAAATGACTTATTCAGTGTCTGCTTAAATGTCTTCAATTTGTGAAATAAGTTCGTGAGCAACAAGTTGATGTTCGATTGAAAAAGGAAACATTCTCCTTCTTTCGAAGAAATACTCAAAAAATCAGTTTAAACAAAAAGACATTGATAGATAGAGAGAGGAAGACGTGAAAGAAGCAAATTGAATATTCGCTGTCACTTTGATACTTCAAGGAAATTCTATAAGAAAAGCAATGAAGACCATATAACGAGATAAGATAAGATGGGATGAAAGTTCATTAGTCAGTCCCTTTTTTATTTTAATTTCCTGAAGATCAATTGCCGCTTAAGCTATCATCTTTCAACTTGTCTTTAAGCTCAGTCATCATCCTTATGCATACATTGCCGTGAAGCATGAATCCTGAGGAAAAAAAGAAGGAAAACTCATTTAGTTCTGCAAGTTCGATGCCTTTTCTTCTTTTTTTGTGACTCTTTAACCAGTGGCTAATTGTATTTGCCTTTCCATCTATCTCTAAGCATTTATTCGGAGCATTTTCTATTTCATCTTCAAGTTATTCATTACTCTCTTAGTCTTTTAGTTTCTCTCCTTTTTTGGGCTTATTTTTGTCGTATGTTTCCTCACTCTCTTTTTCCTTTTTTCCCTTTTCTCTCTAGTTTTCATTATCTCTGAACGTTTTCATTTCCATTTGTGGAACTAACTCCGCCTCTTAGCGTGAGGGTGGTAGCTGAAGTATTCCATCCGACAGGCTACATAGTCTAAGCCTTCCGTCGTTCTCTTTGTCTTCAAAGGGATTGGGGATAACGTCATCTTCACTTAACTCTCCTGAAATCTAGCTCTTCTTACTCCTTATCTCCGCCTTCAAGTTACTTGTAACTCTCGTATTTTCTTATTTGGACTTGCTTTTTAGCGTTTCGATAACAAGATGACCACGACAACAATGAATCGGCGACGAATGTCATTACCTCAAACTCCCATGTCCACCCCTTTATTGGGAGTTCAAGCTTCATCAGCTTCATCACATTTGTCTCCGAAACGAGATCGAAGAACATTGCCGCCGCGTCCCATCAGAGTATCTTCTGCTTCTACCATTATTCCTCCAGAATACCATCTTTATGCTCGTCAGTCTGAACCAGACTTATACAGCACAATGATTCTCGGCGGCTCGTCTGATATGAAAGATCCCCTAGCACGTGCTCGCACCCGAGTAATACCCCTGACGACAATGGTTAACAGTAGCAACCCTACCTCTCGACCCCTATTCAGTAATCAAACACCTCCACCATCACAACCTTCACAACTCCCAACAACTAATTCTAATCTTCCTCGACGTTTTTTACGTCGAGCACATCAATCTGACCTAGCAACTCGATTTCAGAGAGAACGTGAAATGCATTATTCAAACGAAAGTACTCCAAGCCGAGAAATTGAAGGTTAGTATTTTTCATTTTATATTAAATTTTGTTCTGCAAAAAACGAGGTTTCGGTCGTAGACCATCATCCAGATGTGTTGATAATCCATTTTCAAGCCAAATAAGGCTTTTTTTTGAAAAAAAAGAAAAGCCATCAGTTCATTCGAAAAAATGTTTTCATTCAAATAATTTTTTGTACTTCTCCTTTTTTGTCCAATTTTTCTTTCACCATCCCCCGATACTGGCGACGTCATTTTGGCAAAGAAGCTTTTGAAAATGATACAAAACCTAATTAGGAATATTTGAGTCAAATGAAGAACAAACAAGATATCTTTATATTTTTTTTAAAAAAAAGAGGAAAAGTTGAACTTGAACAAACCTGTTCTTGTTCAGATATAATTATATAAAATTCATATAATCCATGAATGTACTAAGATAGAAAAATATTTTCTTGTCGGAAAACTTCAAATTTGCTGCAATAATTTCTAATTCTCAAACTGATTTTAATGGAAATGGATGTAGTCAATGTTAAATTGTAAAGATTCTATTTGATTATTGCAATTAATATTCAAAAAAATCTTTTTCTTCTCTTCTTCATCATCATCGTCTCTTGTGCTTCGCTCTTGAGTGAAAGCGAAGACAAAGAATTGCAATCTTTCATTATTCATGAAAATTGTTTGACAAAAACAATCTTTAAACATCGCCTTAAATGGCTATTTGAGAAGAAAATAAAAACAATTTCAAAAGAAAGAATATAATTTTCAACAGTTTTTGTGAGAAAAAAAACATTTTTCTTGGTTTTTAACTTGAAGAGAGAGAGAGAACTTGCAAATTGAGATATCACTGAGCCTTCTCTCAGTATCATTACTTGAGCATTACCTGCAGGTGTTTAAGCTTTCTGTTTCAATAACTTTTAATTAAAATATAGAGAGGGCAGGAGAAAGAGAGAGAGGGAGAGAGAGAAAGTAAAAGATCGAATACAGTGCGTTTGCGTACAAATTTGATTTTGGAGCTTTTCACACAGAGATAGAGAGAGAGAGAGAGATGGAGAGGGATAATTATTTTATTTCTCCTACTTGAATCATTTTCTTTTGAAACAAATATTGGAGCGGAAACGTTCTCACTCTCCGTCAGAAAGTCTTCGATCAGAAACAAAAAAAGACAATTCAACTCGACTAAGCTTAAGCTTTAATGTGGTAAATTGTTTCGCGATGACACACACCAATTGGATGAAGTCGCAGATTTTGAACTTCCATCTTCTACTTTCGGCTCTCTTTTTTTCGAGAACAAAAGTGAAGTTTCAATGATTATTCGAATAGAATGTAATGAATTCAAACAAATTAGCACAAATGTTCATATAAAATTCATATTTTATGTTTGAAAGTCAAATCAATTTTTCATATTAAGTGCTTAGGTCAGAAGATTCATGAACTTCATTAACCATTCATCTTCATGGCTCATTAACAAAAAAAAATTATATTGAAGAATACTTTAATTAAGTCATTTTTATTGTTGAAAAGTACCAAAAACATAATTTTCACCTTCAATTACTATTTTAAGACTTCCGTTAGAGGAGAATCCTTATGAATGCTCAACACTCTATGGTCACCAAAAAAAAATACTAAAAATAGTTTTTAATTTTTGGCAATTCTCATAACATTTGAGCTTCATTGTTTATAAGGTTTGAGATCCATAGAAAGCACATGAAAACCATTTCACATTCAACGAAACTTTGCATCACTGCGAACCACCTGAAGTACGTGAAGCCATTTTCAAATCATTTCAAATGCCATGCGGTTGCATTCACATGTTTTCTTCATTTCTGAGTCAGAAGCTACTATAAGAAAAGACTCAAGTACGAGTAAAGCCTGCAAATGCTGAATCGAATCAAACTTTTTTTTTCGAAAAAAACAAGTGAAAAATAAAAATAAGTTGATTTCAATATTATGAATTGCACATTGTTTAGATTCTCCAGTAGATCCAGTGTATCTTGCTTTAAAGCAAGCTACAGGAAAGTACGGTCGAAGAGGATCCTCAGCAAATAATTTGGATTCTGGAACTCCGAGCCCGCGAAACTTATCGCAAGTTTCATTACAGGTGAAAGCTTTTCAAATATTTCCAAAGAACAGCTCAAAGATTCGTCGAAGGCATAAAAAAAATGTTTGAAATGTTTTTCTTTTCAAACAAATTCTGTTTATAAATGACCCATGAAAAGCTCAAGTGGTTTAAACGATTGACATGGCCACTTCAACCTTTAACTTCTATTTCAAATGTAACCAAATGGTTAAGGAGTTTGACGTAAAAACGATTCTGAGTGTTCACGGTTTAATAAAACAATTCATCTCAAAAGCTTTTCCTTTTCACTTTTTTTTGTTCAGAAAAAAAAAGCAAAGTAGCTTATGCTTTCTTTTGATGATGCATAAGATAGGTAAAGCAGGAGAATAGTAATTACTTCATTTCGTTGAATATTCATATTCTGATATAATATTTCTATTTCTTTCAGGATTCGGGTTATGTGGACATGAGCACAGCCAATCATGATCCGATGCTCGGCTCAACACCTCATCTGGATAATGCCGGTTCGAAATTATATTTTTCTTGAGGAGCAAATGTAAAAATAAATTGAAAAAAAAAAGAGAAGAAAATATTTTTTTGCAAAAAAACAGAAAAGCAAAATACAATTGAAAGTTTCTTTTATTTGAGCTAAGAAATAAAAGGAAAATATTCATCGAAATCTGTTGTGAGTGCATTGCCTCTTCACTTCTTCAATGATTTTTAATTTTCAAACAATAACTTCAATGGAATAATACTAAAAGATATTGTTTGTAACAATATTTACTTATAAAACATATTCTTTTCAAATATATATATTCTCTTCAATAGGCTTGAGCTATCACTTGTTTTGCGATTCTTGCTTTCCTCAAGTTTTGTCTATTTGACCCTGCTCTCAGGACTCTCTATAATTCACCACAACTCTCTATCCACCCTCTCTCACCACCTTCTCTCTTTCTTTTTTTCTTACTTTTAACTCTTCGTTTATGCTTAGTCTCAAAAATCCTAATCCTGTTAGATATTTAATCTTTTCACTTAGTATTTCTCCATCTTTTCACTGATTTATTCTGTTCATTTTACTTCTTTAGATATCCTTTTGCTCCTGCTGACTTCTTCGAGCTTCCCCTCTTCATTGAATTTCTTTCTTCACAAACTTATAAGGCAATTCATTTTTGCTCTTGAACATCTTAATAAATCCGCCTTTCCCCCATTCATTCTTTCACCCTTTCTCTCTCTCATACGTTTTAATCTATTGATAGAGAGCAACAAGTTCATTACATGACTTCATTACTCTGAAGCTTGAAAATATTTTCTTTTACCTTTCATTATTGCATTTCCTTATTGTTTCCACTCAATCTACTTCCCCCCCACTCAATTTTTACAAAACCTTTTTATTTCTTTTTTCTTACTCCGGATTTAATACATCTCCATCCATCCATCTATCCATCCCCTCCCCCTTCTTCACTTTTCCTACTTCTTTTCATGTAAATGATGAATAAAATAATAAATTCTCCGTTAACTTCTCAACCTGAATCATGTCTCTTCTTCCTTCTCCTACTTCACACATCACTATCTATCCGAATAGCTTATCCATTCTTTCATTTCATTCTCACTTTAACATTATCTTGATAACTTTTTTATCATTCTTCAACTACTTCAAACTACTCTCATATGATCCTCCAAGATTATCCACTCCATTTTCTTCATTACAAAAAAAGCCAACAAAAAAATAAAAACCTCAAACCATCTACTATCAAACAAAAAAAGCAGCTGGAGCATTTCATGAGAATTGCTTTGTCCACGTTCGGCTTATTAAGTTCCAGTGAGAGAAGCCTCTGAGTAATCAGAATTTCACTTGGAAAAAGCCATTGCTTTTGATCCATTTTGGGCAAAGCAAAAGCCAATCCGGAGAGTGATTGTTTCTCCATATCATTCCTTAGCTTCCTACTCCCTTTTCCGATCCATAATAATGAATTCTCTTTCTGCTAAATCTCCATTAAGAAAATGTAAGATTGATTGTGAAAAAATGAAGATCAAAGCTTTCTTCAATTTTATTGTTTAATTCTTTGTTGATTCAGGTCGATCAACTGGACGACGACGTGCTCCAAAGCTGACAACACAAATGAAGTCTTTATCACTCGATTATCAGGAAATGCCACCTAAGATTCAAGCAGCTAATCGAAGTCCATTACGTGAGTTTACTGTTTGTCAAAACTCTTCTCCCTTTTTTTTTCTTGAACAATATGAGTTAGGAGGAGTGCTTCTCTTCTTCTCCTTTTCTTCTTCATCTCCTTCAACTTCATCGCTTCAATGTCCTTCTTTAATTCCTCATCAAATCAATTAAAAGTTTTGCAAACATTCGTTCCTTTATTCATTTTTGTTCCAAATCATCTTTCGCTCTCTCTTAATTAGATAGTTTTATATGAAAAAAGCTTGAATTCAATTAGAAAATATCATGTTGTCTCTCCTTCTCCTACTTATTTCATCATTTTACAGGATCCAAACTGGCTGCCCGAGAATATAGAGGTAAAAATAGTGCATCCGATCTCTCGGATTGGGATAGAAGCTGTAGTCCATGTACGGTGACAAGCAGAAGAAGCAGTGCTTCATTATGTAATCGACAGCATACATTTCATTCATTCATATTGTATTTTTGCAGCAAACTTCGGAGGACACATAGTTATACATGAATATTGTCCGCCAAACAATGGACCAGCTTTACAATTAGGAGAACGTATACGGGTTGTGGATAATGGTGATCCAGATTGGCTACACGGGTTCCGAGCGAATGATAGGTCAGTTGTTCATTCTTTTCTGTTACTTCCCAAAACTCTGTATCATTTACTTAAAAGTGTCAGGATATATCTGAATAACCAATCATTTCATTTTCCCAGCCTTAATGAAACTGTGATGATCTAATCTATCATTACAGAACTGAATATCTGATGTCGTTCCCGGCCACATGTGTTGCTCCAATTCATGCGGGTGAGCAGCCGATGAGAATTCAACAAAACATTTTTGTTGCTGAGCAGAAATTGCGTATGTACCGTGATCAGGTAGCTAATCGATGCAGAATAATAAAAAATAACAATTATGATGTTAAGATTGTTTTTGCTCAACCGGATACATTGCAAGATGGTAAGGTGACAGTACGAACTGAACACAACGCCTTTGCTGCTTGTCCTTTATCAAGTTTAGCATTGCTGACTTTGCATTAAGCATCCGGATATGGAGAAATGGATTATTTACTCAAATAATAGTTTTTTTCTCGTGTCCTCCTCCCTCCCTCCCTCCTCTTCTTTCATTTTAATATCTTAAAGTGGGAGATAAATGATCAAATCAACAACGGATACGATTGGAAAGTTCCGAATGATAACTTGGAGACATTTCCATTTTAGATAATTATTTGAAAACTTTTTTTCTTTGAAGAAAAGTTGAAACTTGTATAAAATTCAGGTAGAATTTAAGATGTTCCATCTTAAAAGTATCGTGATTGTCTTGAAACCTTTTCATTGATATCATCATTTCATTATTTCTTCTTCAAATCGATTTCTCTAGATACTTTTTTATTTCTCTGGCGGTTTCTAGCACAAAAACAACATTCCAGTGATATCCTTTTTTTGTATTTAGTCTTAAATCATTTTAATATATTTTGTTCCATTGTCGCAAATAAAGATTCATCAATGTGTATTTATATTCTTCTTACGTACACGTGAGTGACGTGGATTCATTTCGTTCGTGCAACATGTTGAGAACGGTTGCATTCATTTCATGCGAATAAAGACGATGAGTTCATGCTCGAGTCGCTGAAGGCAGAGAGAAGGTTTAGTAGAAGGTTTGAACATTGATGAAGCGAATGATTTAAAGTGGGTTTTCTTAGTCAAGAAGGGCTTCAATCACAATAATTCGTTGGAAAAAAAGGTTATAAAAAAATTGTGAGAACATGTGGGAGGTATTCATCACTATTCATTGGCTATTGATCTTTAGCATATCTTTTTCACATTTTCTATGCTCCTGCTCCCTTCAAATCTTTATCTCTCTCTCTCTGTATCTCTCTCTCTCTCTCTCTCTCTGGTTTGATTATCCTCTCCCTCTCTTTTCTTTCATATCTTTGTTCCCCTCTCTCTCTCTTTCCATCTTTTTCTCTCGACCTAGGCTTATCCTTGGTTACATCGTTTCTGCAGGAAGAGACGAAGAAGCAACTGCTTATGTTCGGAAACTTTGCTTTGATTTCATTTTCTGGACTTATTAATTGATTTTTATCATCTTTTTTTGAACATGATTGTATAAATATTTGGTTGTTTAACATGAAATATTTAACAAAAAGAGAGAAGGAAAGTTCATAGATTAGTCTTTATATAGAAATATCCTTTAATTATACATATAATAAACACTTCTCTTTTTTTAAAGTGAAAATTCACAAGAAATTTCAGTATTTCTTTCATATGAAAACGCCTTTGCACCTACGCATTCACCTTAATTGCTTATATTCATTGAATAATGTTATGGAATAACCTTCGAAATGATGAAAATTGTTCCGTTTTTGCCTCTCCTATTCTCCTTTTGTTATTTTGTATTTATCATTATGATATAGAGAGAAAGAGAGAGAGAGAAAGGTGAAGAAAGAGAAAGATAGAGAGAGAAAGATGAATATGAGCTTATATTGAATGATGAAACTTCATTTCATTCCTTTCTGTTCTATTTTTTTAAACTTTCGAACGATTTTTTATTTTTTCCTTTTGCTCAATTTTCTGCTTAAATTACTAAGAAAATGACGCTTGTCCTAAATGGAACGGCCATAAACGAATCATGACCGAATCAGCTATTCCCAAGGTTTTTTAAATCCAACAATGAGGAAGAGAGCAGCATGCTATCGTTCAGATGAGAGAAGAGGAAGAGAAAGAAAGAAGAGCCGAAGACGAACGAACTTCTCAAGACTGACAAATGTTGTCGTCCGGCGTTCAGAAGTTTGTGAATGTTGATGACGGACGATGAAAGGCTAACTAACGACTCGACCTCGCTTGGTTACGAAACAATCAAAGTAAACCGCCAGGCATTGTGAAGGACAACAGGAGTCAATTACCACAAACGTTTATTGACAACTTCATCCGCATTTTGTCTTTCCTTTAATTGAATCATATTACTTTTTTCCTCCTTTTTATTCTAATTGTACAACTGACATTCAATGTACGAAAAAAAATGGTTGTGAATGCGCTAAAATGGTTCCGCTCCAAACGATAAATTGTAAGATTGAGAAATTACTTAACTAATGACCTCCATCATCATATGTTTATGGACAGACCTCTCCTTTCATGTATATCTCAATTATCACGGAATATAATAATAAAAAAGTTTTATTATCTTCTAATTAGCATTTAGTATGACTATCATTTACATCCTCCTCTTGACTTCTACTCTTAGTATAAGGTATGACTCTTTTCCGATTTCAAATGTTTCATCCGTTTTCGAACTGTTTGACCAGTCAGCTTTCCAACTTGAACTCATGCTGATCAAACATTTTAGAAGCTGTTCAGCTACACAATATTTTTTTATCATCTTGTTTATGGATTTGAAACATTTTAGGAGAAATTTAATCAAACCTGTAATTCTCTCTTTCCTCTTCTGTTTTCTTCTTATTTGAATCCAACTGCTGTTCAGTTTTCTTAGGATTGACAACTAAGCTTCATCTCTAGAAATATGAGTAAAAGCTGGAAGTGAAATACATGCCATCTAGCTGTAATAATCTCAAAACTCATCAGTATTTTACTTCTTTGTCATTAAGCATCGATTGTATTGAAACTATACATAAGTAAAATAGTATGACCAAATACGTCAAGAAATGAATTTTCCCTCTTCTGAATGTAGTAGCTGTCTACTGTTATAATACACATGTTTCTCATTTTGTAAAAAGAATCTCTTCTTCTGTTACACAAGCACAACAAAACGCAAAAATATATAGTTAAAGCTCAGAAAAAAAATCTTTTTTTTCCCGTTCATCTTCACTTCTGACTAGAAAATGCTTTTTTCATGTCTTTCCAAGCCATATGGTCTTCATTATTCGTGTGAAAATCAGTAGTTTCAATTGAACCACGATCGTTGACGTCACATTGACCGGTTGAAGACAGTCATTTTCATGGCAGAATAATTGAAATTTTCTTAAAATAAACCTTGAAACGATATTTGCTGTTCTGTTTCTTCTTACTTCATTTCAAATCTCATTCCTTACTCAACGTTCACATCTTCACGTTTTCATTTACTTACGTGGAAATGAGTGAACATGTTGATTTTTCATTTTCATGTGAATAGACCACGAGTTCGGTTGTTTTGAATAGTGATAGATTTAAAATCTATTTTTTTTATTTTTTTTCTCATAAATTCTGAATTCTTGAAACATTGGATAACAAGTGGTTTCTTATTTGTGTTTGAGCTGCTTTTCCGACTATTTAGCTTAGATTAACTTATTATTTTCCATAATTTCTTTGTTTTTTTTCATTGTTTCCGCCACAGCAAGTAGTTTCCGCTATTTACGGATTATCACAGAGGGAGATACCATGTGGATGTGTTAAGACTTTTCGTGTGGGCAGACGAATATGTTTAATAAAGACTATTCAACTAACCGACTGAAGCGTGTTCTGACTCTCTTATGATGTGTTTCATCTTTGTTGATAATCATATTTATCCTTTTTCACGCATATGGCTCTCGTTAATGCATTCTCTCTTTGCAAGTATAATATTTATTTCAATTTTCATAACAAATGAAGAATAGTAGTTGTGACTACTTTTCTATGATTTCAATTATTATCCAAATTTTTGATTTGAAGTTCATTATGATAGTCTCTTATGATAGTGAACTCTTTCATATACACATGTTCTCATCAGCCCTTTTCTACTTGGGGTATATTTCTGTTTGATCATGAACACTGTTAACATCGAGTACTGAGTTTCCCTTATTGTCGTTGAAAGAATTATCGACTAATAATTATAATGATTTCGTGTATTGGAACAAGTTGACATCTGAAACAGATAAGCCTAAGTTGTTATTGTGTGCTTCCATCCTTCTTTTTTCTTGGCTATTCCGATTAGAATGGGTTTACATCTTAGGGGGTGGGGGTGTCCTTCAGTTGTTTTGACCATAAGCATAAAACACTTGATCTACTTAAATATTGAAATATTTAAGAATCGTTAGAATATGTAAATTATCTCTTTTTTCTCACCGTATGGATATGATGTGGTTTGTAAGATATAAGACGGCTCATCATTTGACGTCAAGTATGGCTCACTGTAATCCCCTTTTCATCACTTCAAAAAGGATTATATGGCTGGTCCCGTTCTATCAAACTAAACCGAAATCATTGACGATTCTTAAAGAAATATTTTTGAGACAGTCAGAGTGCCCGGATAATCCTTCTAGCTACTTAGGGTCAGGTCTTTGTTCTCCGTCACCCCAACTGTGATGAGACTGTCTCCTTCGATTGACCATCAAAGGCAAATCTTTCCAGCATCTCAATACATTCAATTATAAATATATTCTATCTTCAATATCATATTTTCTTATTTTAACGTTCTCGCTGTCGCTGTCGGGCTTCACCCACTGACACCTCTCTATCCAACTGCTGCATTCTTCTTACTTTCAACAGTATATCCTATTTGAGATTGTTTTCTTTGGTAGCCAACCCTAAACAGTTTAATCTTACGGTATTGAGGATAAATAAAGTATTTATGGAACAAATACGTTTTGAAAAAAAAGAGCCGGCTTTATTCAATCATCCTGTCTTATTTCTTCTGCTATTCTCTGAAAGGAGAAGTCCTTCAAGAAGCAAAAAAAAACCATTTTGTCCGTATGTAAGAGATTGGTGAGATGAGAAAAATAGAAAAAAAAAGAGTAAAAAAGTGAAAGAGTCATGCACTAAAGCTACTATAGCAACATCGCCAATCATCAGATGGTTATCGGTTATTCAGTTTTCTGATGCCCATCATGATGGATGAGCAGGTCTCGTACGCCAAGAATAAAAAAAAGACTTAAAAGGAGATGAAGGGTGAGAGAGTAGAAACACTACAAGAGTATAACTAGATAGTTTAATCTTGATTAGCATATCAACAGACTGTCGTTTAACTGTCTCTCATCCTTTTTATGTTTATGTAAGATAACCTGATGATGTGATATGAGGTAAAAAAGTAACAGACGTTACTTTTTTCTTTTCCGACTGCTTCATCATCT